ACGCCCAGCTAATTTTTGTATTTTTAATAGAGACGGGGTTTCACGATGTTGGCCAGGATGGTCTCGATCCCTTGAACTTGTGATCCGCCCACCTCAGCCTCCCAGAGTGCTGGGATTACAGGCATGGCCACTGTGCCCGTCCTGTCCTGTCTCTGGTCTGTACTGGCATCCCAAAGCTGAGCCTTTAAAGACCAGCTGCATGTGCTGCAGACGCGGCGGGGCTGAGCCCAGCCTGCCACCATATGAGGGAGGGGTAGTGGCTCCTGGTGCAGCTGCCAGTCTTAGAGGCCAGGTAAGCTCTGGTCTGGTCTGGCCAGGCAGTGGAAGGACAGGACCTGTGTGAGGTGGGGAAGTGGTGGGACACCCCCAGGCTCCTACCTGGTTCCAGCCACTCTGTGTGCTGGCCTTGCCAGTCTTGCCACGTGAAACACCTTCCTCCTGACACCCAGAAATCCACCTGACTTCTCTCACAGATAAGGGACCAGTGCTCAGCCCAGTACCACCGCTGGTGAGTGGCTGATGGGACTCAGTGTGTCGGGTGCCAGCCCCTCCCCAAGGAAGCTGCCTGTCCTCCTCCCTGCACTGGTAGTGCCTTCCTGGCTGCGGCCATCTGTCCCATCCCACCTGCCTGGATGGCAGACTCCACAGGCCTGGCTGGTCAGCAGGGGCTCAGGTCAGCGAGGGTCTCAGTGCAGTCAGCAAAACAGCCCTCTCCTCCAGCCCCTCCCCACCCGCCACCACTTCCTACTCTCAGCCCATGGCCCTGAAAATAGATATGCCGGGCGCGGTGGCTCACACCTGTAGTCCCAGCACTTTGGGAGGCTGAGGTGGGCCATCACCTGAGGTAGAGAGTTCAAGACCAGCCTGACCAACATGGAGAAACCCCGTGTACTGAAAGTATAAGATTAGCCAGGCGTGGTGGCACATACCTGTAATCCCAGCTACTGGGGAGGCTGAGGCAGGAGAATCACTTGAACCCAGGAGGCGGAGGTTGCGGTGAGCTGAGATCACACAATTGCACTCCAGCCTGGACAAGAGCAAAACTCCATCTCAAAAAAAGAAAGAAAAAAAGAAAATAGAAGCCAGCAAGTCTCGGTGGCTCACGCCTGTAATCTCAGCACTTTGGGAGGCTGAGGCGGGCAAATCACTCCCACGGTAGGGAGTGTTAACAATGTCTGCTGCTACTTGCACTCATGGTGGGAAGGACACACTCGGGCTGACACTGAGACCGGCTGGGAAGGGAGGGGATGGGCACGCAGGGCTTCCCACCCGCTGGGTGTTGCTCCTTCAACTGGGTGCTAAGCTCCCAGGCATCATTATGCTCTTCGTGTGTTCATCTGAAATAATTCACTAACAAAACCGCTTTTCAAACGCTTTGCTCCCACCCCCAGGGCCTCAGGGGAAAACCCCGGCTCCTTGGTGGACATTCAAGGCCCATTGGGACCTGCCCCTGTCACTTGGCCTCTGCAGCCCTTGTGTCATGCTCCAGTCCTTTGCTCTTGCCCTGTCCTCTGCCAGAAATGCCTCTTTCTGCCCATCTGGACTTTGTGGCTCTGTCTTCATCCACAGGAAGCTTCTACGCAGCTGAGAAACAGGGTCAGACTTGGCTTTTAGAAGAAGGCCTCTGCGGCAGGCGGATCACTTGAGGCCAAGAGTTCGAGACCAGCCTTGCCAACATGGCAAAAACCCCGTCTCTACTAAAAATACAAAAACTGGCCAGGTGAGGTGGCTCATGCCTGTAATTCCAGCTTCCTTTGGGAGGCCGAGGCAGGTGGATCACAAGGTCAGGCATTTGAGATCAGCCTGACCAACATAGTGAAACCCCATCTCTACTAAAAATACAAAAAAATTAGCTGGGTATGGTGGTGGGTGCCTGTAATCCCAGCTGCTTGGGAGGCTGAGGCAGGAGAATTGCTTGAACCTGGGAGATGGAGGTTGCAATAAGCTGAGATCTCACCACTGCACTCCAGTTTGGGCGACAGTGTGAGACTCTGTCTCAAAAACAAACAAACAAAACCAACCAACCAAACAAAACTAAAAAAACCCCAAAAACTAGCCAGGCACCGTGATGCATGCCTGCAGTCCCAGCTACTCCGGAGGCTGAGGCTGGTGGATCACTTGAGCCCAGGAGTTCTGGGCTGTAGTGCACTATGCCAACTGGGTGCCCACACTAAGTTCAGCATCAATACGGTGACCTCCTGGGAGTGGGGACCACCAGGTTGCCTAAGGAGGGGTGAACCGGCCCAGGTCAGAAACGGAGCAGGTCAAAACTCCCATGCTGATCAGTAGTGGGATCTCACCTGTGAATAGTCACTGCACTCCAGCCTGGGCAACATAGCGAGACTCCAACTCTTAAAAAAATTTTTAAAAAAAATCCCAAAACTAGCTGGGCATGGTGGCGCATGCCAGTAATCCCAGCTACTTTGGAGGCTGAGGCATGAGAATAGCTTGAACCTGGGAAGTAGGGGTTGCAGTGAGCTGAGATTGCGTCACTGCACTCCAGTCTGGGTGATGGAGTGAGACTCTGTCTTGAAAAAAAAAAAAAAAAAAAGCCTCTGGGATCCCCAGCAAGGAGGGCTGGTCAGGGTGGGGGGGGGGCAGGGGAGACATCAAGGGGTAGACAGACCCACCCTGAGGCCCAGTGCACAGCCTGGCATCCACTGATGCCCTTTCACCCTCATTCCACCAGTAGCCATGGAGACAGCTGCACCTCAACTCCAGCCCTCAAAGAGCAGAACGGGGTAAGGGAGCAGGGGAGCCCTGAGCCACAGGTAGCCCACCTGAGCACCACCTCCTCAAGATTCCCCCACGGTCTGGAGCTCCTGAAGGCTGGCTGTTGTCCCCAGGACCTCCACTCACTTAGCTCTCCCTGACATCGTACTTGGGGGCGTCCAGAACTGGCAGATGGGAGAAGCCCTAGGGAGACAGGCCTAGAGATGGGAGGAGACATGCGTGGAGCTAAGGCAAAGGCAGGTGCAAATGCCAGGCCCAGTGCCCTCTGTACCCCTACCCCTGCTGACGACCTGGTTGCCGTAAGCTTGGTAGTTGCCATGGACTTCCTGGGAGAGATGGCGTGGCCTGCAAGGTCCCCTGCCCTGAGGTGGGGTCTGGGCATCTCCTGCTGGGTGCATGCAAGGCAGCCTGGGCAGGGTGCATGTGAGAGCCACCTGCGCTGGGGTGGCCTGGCCCTCTCTGGGCCTCACAGCCTTGGCTGCCTCGTGGTACTGCCCACCCAGCCTCTCAGGACTGCTCTGTGGCGTGTGTGCCTAAGGGATTGCGCTTGTGGGGTTGGGGACAGCGGCCTGCCCAGGTCTGTTGAGAGGGCCCAGGTGACTTCCACCCAGATTGGCCCCACCAGCACCTGCCTTGACTGGCTGGGGCACAGAGAGAAACCAGGACAGGGCTGGGCATGGGTGTAGGGACATGTCCTCTGGGCCAGGCCCCTCCCACTGGGGCGAGGCAGAGGCCTTGCTTGGATGGAGCGGAGTGGGAGGGTCTCCCTGGTGAAGACAGTACTGGAAAGGCAGAGACAGCATTCTGCGGAAGGAGCCAGAACGAGCCCCTGTATGGAGCGTGGGGATTTCACCATGAGACCCCAGCTGTCTGGCCTCTGAGAACTTGTGTGGGGCATTCCAGGTGGAGGGTCGTGCCCCTCTCCAGATCTGTGTCCACATCTGTAAAATGGGCCTAGAACTCCCAGCCGCTGAGGCGAGTGAGGCCATAAATTAGTAGAGATGGACCCAGGCTCCTAAGCCCCCTAGGTCATGACCCCAAACCTTGGACCCCCACGGACAGGCTGGGGCGGCCGAGGCCCAACCCAACCTATCTCGCCCAAATGTGGGAAGAACCGGAGGGCAAACCCCTGGCTTCTCTCCTGGCCGCTTCTCTCTTGGAGGCCACCTATCTGAGGCCACCATTGTGTCCACTGTGGCTGAAGATGGTGAATCGAAGTGGAATCAGGAGTGTGGAGGTCGAGATGGGCGCAGCGCCCACTCCTAAAGAGCTGTCCCCATCCGTCCGCCCCTCCCTACCCTGCGCGGGTCAGCTGGAGCGGGGGCGCGCCAGGCACCTAGCCGGGCAGAAGGCAGTGGAGCCCTTAGGGGTCACAGCTCCCCCGCCTCTCACGTGCAGATGGGGTAACAGCCCGGAGGTCTTTCCCAAGGTCACAGAAGGTCAGAGAAAAGGGGAGTTGGACGCCACGAGGAAAGTCACGCACGGCGGAAGGCGGGCCACCTACGCGCGCGCCCGGGCTCGCGGAGCACCTACGCCCTCCCCGGCCGCGGCTGCCCGAGCGCGGAGCCTCTCTCCGCCCGCAGCTGGGGTTCCGGGAGCGCCGCCCCGCCCCTCCACGCCCCCCTCGCC